AAGGCTGGCTTTGAACTCGTGATCCTCCTGTCTCAGCCTCTGGAGCCCTGGGATTACAAGCGTGCAACTACCACTCACTGCTGAAATATTATTCTTAAATGCATCATAATGGACGAAACTAGGCAACATTGACAAAAAGAAGCGTGGTGATTAAGGAAAAGGGAAAGCCAAGGAAAAATAATAAAGTACTGCAGATATTATCTTGAATTTTTATGCTCTTTGCTGTACCTGTAGGGTGGAAGTGCTCTTTCTAATTAAGGATGAATGTCTTATTTCCTTCCTGTCCTCAGAGTTAGCTGTGAACGATTTTACAACTGTTAGCAATCACTGTTAATTTTTTAAATTGAGATGTAAGTCACATGAAATTTACCATTTTATAATGTACAACTCAGTGGATTTTAGTATGATCATCATATTGTGCAAACCATGCTTGGGCATCTAATTCTAGAACACTTCTATCAACCCCAAATGAAACAGTAGTTATTAACAGCCAATCCATTGGTAATTCTTTAGAATTTTTGGCCTGATGTAGAGTTATTTTTTTTAAAAAAAAGTTGATTTTAAGGAATGCACGTCAAATGAACTGGAGCTAGTATTAACTTTTGAACAACGTACACTTTTGTACCAATTTTAGTTCCTTTTAAAGAAATATCTATGAGGTTTTAGAGTTTTGCCCCATTGTGACTACTTAAGTGGAATATGACATGGATATTCATCAATATTTTGTATCTATCTGGCTTGATGTGGGTCATAGAAAATTGAAGGCAAAAACGTCCTTGAACAAAGGGAAAGAGAGAACAACATTCAAGGACAAGTCTCCTTGTGACTTGCTGAAAATGTTTCCTTTCTCCTTCCTCCTTTTTTATCCTCTCCACTTTTCCAATGAAGAACTAGAAGTCCACTTCCTTTTAAGAAATTCTGCTTGCTGAGCTCCACCTTTTATAATAGAGCCATTGAAGAATTATAAGCTACATTATGAAAAGATTCTTTACTCAATGTATGTTTAGCTAGCACCACTTCCTACAGTTAGTTATTTGTGTGCTATATGTTGGGAGGAGGAAGAATAAATGCTCAGCTAAACTGTGATGCACACATTACATTATGTGGAGAGAAATTATTTCTAAAAAATACATCAGAAGAAAAAGGCAAATGAAAAATATTTATTTTACTTTTGACTAATGAGACAAACATCTCACACATAAAGGAGACCTGCCACTGGACTTTTGAATACTTTCAAAATGGGGGGAAAAATCTTCATGTTAGTTAAATACAAATTAAATGTTTGGGTAATGATTATAGGGAAAGATTCATTCAAGAGATATTTATTGAGTTTCTATTAGGCACTATATAGAATGATGAAGAGAAATAAGTGCTTTCTATTAGGGAGCTTAAAAATCCAGCTGGAAAAATGGAAAAAAAAAAAGTGGGAGGATTTCGGAGAAATCTAAAGTAGACCAGTAGAAGAAGGGAACCAGGAGGAGAAAGGATAAAGGAGGTTCTAGGGAATGAAATCAACCAAATTATATTGTTTGCATGTAGGAATATATAACAACAAATCCTACTCTTATGTATAATTATCATGTACCTACAAAAATTTTATTTTAAAAATCCAGTGGGGGAGGGAATCATTAGGCTAATAATTCTATGAATGAAATATGAAATTGCAATTTTAGTCATTGATAATAGTAAAGGATAGAAAGCGCTCTTGAGAGAATAATATGGGAGATTTTGACTTGATGCAGGAGAACCTGAAAGATGAGTAAGAATTAACTAGCAAAAGAAGGCAAAGAGTGTTCCGGGAGGAGAATGGTGTTGAAAGAACGTATAAGTTGGTAGGGGAAATGGGGCATGGGAGGTAATGGTTGGAGCTGAGGGTCCATGGAGAAGTGGTTCAAGATGGTGCTAGAGAAATTGGTAGGGTCAAGATAATTTGGAGCCTCATAGGAGAGGAAGCTATTGAATGGTTTCAAGTAGTAGATTAGATCTGATTAGATCCACAGTTTGACAAAATCACCAGAACAGTGATGTAGGGAGGATGGATGTGACTGGGGCATTCTTGGATGTAGAAAGACCATATCAGATATTTCAAGAGGAAAGATGGGGCTGGAAGGAGCAAATGGAAAAGATCTGGACTCAAGAGAAAAAATGGGCCATCTCTGCTGGGCTCAGGGGTGCACGCTTGTAATCCCTGTGGCTCGGGAGGCTGAGGCAGGAGAATCACAAGTTCAAAGCCAGCCTCAGCAACTTAGGGAGGCCCTAAGCAACTCAACAAGACCCTGTCTCTATATAAATATTTTTTATATTTTAGGGCTGGGGATGTGGCTCAGTGGTTGAGTCTCTTTGGGTTCAATCCCCAATACCAAAAACAAACAAACACACAAAAAACCAACCAAAATGTGTAAGGATGGTCTTTAAAATCACATGTGGATGGAACTCTAAGCAAAATTTTCACAGTGAGAAGAGAAGACTTAGGAGTGACCCTGGAGCAAGGGCAACAGGTTTAGGATTATTGAATCTATCACCAAATGTATTGGGCTGTAATTTTCATTTCTTGTCAGGTGTTGGTATTAGGGTTATGATGGTTCCTAAAGGAATTGGAAAGTTGTTTCCTCTTCTGTTCTTTGAAAGGGTTTCTGTAAAGTGAGACTTTTTTTGTTTTGTTTTATTTGTTTGCCTGATTTGTTAGTGACATCATTTGTGTTTGGAGTTTTTCTTGTGGAATGATTTTAGATAATGAATTTAATTTCATTAGTAGATAAAGGAATATTAAGATTTTAAAAATCATTCGTGTCCATTTTTCTGTTGTTCTTTTTTAAGACAATTTCCCATTTTCATCTAAGTTGTCAAATGTGCTGGCATATATAACACAACAGTCTGTAATTAGCGTTTCGATGTCCTTGGGATCTGTAGTGATGTTCTCTTTCATTCTTGATGTTGGTGATTTGTGTTTTCTCTTTCTGTCTTATATCTTTTATTAGGGATTTATCAAAATTTTTTAAACCATCTTTTGGCTTTGGTGTATTTTCTGTGTTCCTTTCCATTTCATTGATTTGACTCTATATTTATTATTTCCTTCTTTCCATTTCTTTAGAAGCTTTGATTTTTGTGTTCTTTTTCAGAATGTTTTACAGATAAAATCTTAGATCATTAATATTTCAACTATACTTTTTTTGTAATATGAACCTTGAGGCTATAAATTTCCCTTAAATCTATTTTCTCCACAAGATTTTGTCCTGTAAGTTAAAAATGTTTGATTTTAATTGTGGTTGCTTCTTTGAGCACATGGCTCATTTGGAAGTAAATTTTGAAATTTCCAAACATAAGGGAATTTTCCTAGTTATTACTTTGTCATTGAGAGGCAATATAACGCAGTGATTAAGATCAGTGACAGAGAGTCAAATTGCCTGATTTTGTATACCAGCTATGTGATCTAGGGCGAGAATTAAGACTAAGCCTTAACTATAAAATGGGGCTAATAATAACACCTATATCATAGAGTTGTTATAAGGATTAATATAATGAATATTCATAAAACATTTATACTACTAGGCCTATAGTAAACATTATATAGGTGTTTGATAAATAAAAGAAATGATTTTGGCTTGTTTTTACTGTGATCTAAAAGCATTTGTTTGTATGATTTTGGTCTTTCATGTTTTGTTTTGTTTGTTTGATTTGAGGTGTGTTTTGGTTTTTTTTGGCAATACTGGGGACTGAACCCAGGGGTGATCCACCACTGAGCTACATTCCCAGCCCATTTTACTTTTCAGACAGGGGTCTTACTAAGTTGCAGGAGCTAGCCTTAAACTTGGGATCCTCCTGCCTCAACCTCCCAAGTAGCTGGGATTACAGGCATGAGCTGCCAAGCCATACCTGAGATTTCTTTTAGATTTGTAATAATTTGATCAATTTTACAAATGTTCTGCATGTGCCTAAAACAGATGTATGTTCTGTAGTTTGGTGTGCAGTTAAATACCTGTAATCTCAGCGACTTGGGAGGCTGAGGCAGGAAGATCACGAGTTCAAAGCCAGCTTCAGCAAAAGCGAGGCACTCGATCAACTCATTGAGACCCTGTCTCTAAGTAAAATACAAAATAGGGCTGGGGATGTGGCTCAGTGGTCGAGTGCCCCTGAGTTCAACCCCCCCCCCCCGCAAAAAAAATAGATGTTTCGTTCTGTTTTTTTCTTCCCTGCCTTTAAACCTGATGGGGCCACCCAAAGTATCACTTTATCCCTCCAGGAGGCTCTTAGGGACCACAGTGCTCCCTTCCATGCATGATTTTCCTGCCTAAAGTTCTCTTTTGCTTCAGCCTGGGCTTCTGCCTCTGCCTGAATTCATGTTCTCATTCCCATGTCAGTCACACGCTCTTAGAGGCCTGCTGCATACCCACTTGTTGATGTGCTGCAGGAAGCCGTCATGTAGCGGACATGGTCCCCGCTGTCTTGTCCAGTAGGAGAGAAGCTTAGTGTGTGCAAGTGAATTTGTTGTGGGAAGGGCCTGGTAATGACCTCAGGCAAGGGACAGAGGGAAGTGAAGCAACCTGCTATGTATGCAGTGGGTCACCAAGGATCGGGGAGGCAGAAGAAGACAGAGCTGAGTCCTGAATCTGTGCCTGGGGCACTGAGTGAACTACCTCACGGAAACCCAAGTAGCTGAGCTTTGCCTCACGGGTGTTTATAAAACATCTTTTAAAAGAAAGAGTTGAAAGGTTTATCTAGATAACAGGCCAGAGTGGCTGGGTTTTTGTTTGTTTGTTTGTTTGCTTAAGAATACAAGAGCAAGCCAGGCATATTGGTTCATTTGTGGGCCTTGTGTTGGAGACCTGTCTGGGCAACATAGCAAGAACCTGAAAAAAACCGAAAAGACAAAAATGAACAAAAACATCCTATAAGTTTCCTCAAAAAATGAAAAAATAAAAAATAGACCCCAGCATGGTGGCCACACCTGTAATCCAAGTTATTTGAGGGCCTGAGGGAATAGGAATCAAGTTCAAGGACAACGTGGGCAACTTAGTGAGACTTTGTCTCAAAACTAAAAGTAAAAATAGAATTACCATATGATCCTGCTATATCACTACTCAGTGTTTATCCAAAAAATCAAAATCAGCCTACTTCAGAGATACATGCATACCTGTTTATGGTGGCACAATTCACAATAGCTAAGTGATGGAATTGGCCTAGGTGTCCATCAACAGATGAATAAATAAAGAAAATATCACACACACACACACACACACACACACACAATGGAGTATTATTCAGCCATAAAGCAGAATGAAATTATGTCATCTGAGGGAAAAATGGATGGAACTAGAGAACACCATGTTAAAATAAATCAGCCAAACTCAGAAAAACAAGTATTGCATGTTTTCTTTCATATGTTGAAGCTAGAGGGGGTGGAAAGAACATCATGAATGCAGAAGGGAGATGATTTGTGTAGAGAAAGAGAATCAGGGTGAGGGATGAAAGAAAGGGGAGGTGTTGGGGAATGAAACATCAAATTATATGCATATATGGATATGTCATAATTAAACCCACTATGCTGTATAATTAATATATACCAATAAAAGTAAAATAAGGCAAATAATATGAACCAGCTGAAGAATAAATAAATACCATCAGTAAACACTAAAAAAAAAAAAAATAGTGTAATTGTTATCACCTGGTCCCAGAGACCGTGTTCAATGGAGGTAGCTGCATTTGAGTCTCAGTCAGTTGGGAAGCTTCAGTGGTGACCAGCGTCTGCCAGTGAGTTTGCTGAGATTAAATTTCCATGGATCTTAGATTCCCCATGTTTGTGCTTATACCCACACAGGGAAGCTCTTTGTGCTAGAGTCTCAGAATGGTTCTCAGGGCCTGGACCTGGAGACAGCACGGCTTTCCTGTAAGACCAGGGGAGCTCACCTGGTGTCTGCGGAAGAGCTGCGGAGAGTGGTCCAGGATTGCACCTTGGCGGTGTGCACCACAGGCTGGCTGGCAGATGGCACCCTTGGGTAAGTTGGACAGCTGGGGAAAACCCTCCTTTGCCCTCACCCCAGGGGTCTGATCAAGTCTTATAGGGGGGCTCAATAATTGTTCTCTAGCCAGATGTGGTGGTGCACTCCTGTCATCCCAGAGATGCAAGAGGCTGAGGCAGGAGGATTATAAATTTGAGGTCAACCTCAGCAACATAGTGAAAATAAAGTAGATAAATTTAATACCTCAGATAATAAATAAATTAGAAAAATAATGGGGAGGTAGTTCAATGGTAAAGTACCCCTGGGTTTTATCCCTAATATCCCCCGCCAAAAAAAAAAAAGTTCTCTGGAGGCACTAGGATAGGCAAAGAGCTATGGGAAGTGGCTTCTTTCAGGATGTTCTTGTTTTGAATTCTGGAGTTAAGTCACAGGGTTTTTTTGTTTTTTTTGTTGTTGTTGTTGTTGTTTTGTTTTTTTAATCCCTGACTTTGTTATTTTGAATTTTCTCTTCAAGTGACAAAACTAGTACATGTTTGTATACAGTCTCTCTCTCTTTTTTTTTTTTTTTTTTTGGTAGTGCTGGGGATTGAACCCAGGGCCTTGTGCATTCAAGGCAGGCACTCTACCAACTGAGCTATATCCCCAGCCCTGGTATATAGTCTTAAACATTTGCATATGTGTAGGAACATGGGATGGATGGAGGTTTACATTTTTTTTTAATGGTGTTGGGGATCAAATCCATTGGCCAAGTCACTAGGATTACAGGCATGAGCCATTGCACCTGGCTTGAGTAGCATTCTTGGTAGCCTCATAGACTAGGAGGATTGAGATTTAAATTCAAATTCTGTAGAGGAGGTCCAGTGAGTCTTTTTTTTTTTTTTAGAAGATTTCTTTTTTACACAATATTTATTTATTTTTATGTGGTGCAGAGGATTGAAACCAGTGTCTCACATGTGCTAAGCCAGCGCTCTACCACTGATCTACAATCCCCAGCCCCTTCCAGTGAGTCTTTTTGCTTTGGGTTGTACCTTCCTGGCATGTACCTCAGGAATAAGAGTAAACTGGACACAGTACACAGTACAGTAAATTGGACACAGGCCCTCTGAGAAGCAGGAGCAAAACATCAAATACTTGAAAGCCACAAATTTGGATTGAATAATACTTGAATTCAACGGCTCCAGATATCTAAATATAAGCATTGGTAGCTATAGACTTTATAGTAACTATCCTTAAAATGTTCAAAGATTTAGAAGGCAAGAAGGCAATTTTGGCAGAAGATGGGAAACTATAAAAATAACCAAATGGAAGCTCTAGAAAAATATAAAAACTAAACTTAATGAGGATAAATCTAACAGATTTCATCTAATAAATGAATCTCTAATAGGTGGTTAAAAAGAGCCAAAAAGAGAATTAGTGAACTGGAAGATATTCCACAGGAAGATATTTATAATAAATAACAGCGGAAAAAGAGTGAAAAGTGTAGAGGAAAAGGTAAAAGTCAAACAAGATGTGTATAATTCGAACTATAAAAGGAAAAATTAAAGAAATGGAATAAGAATGATATAAGAATGATCCACAACTGAAGAAAAACATCAAGGCACAGATTCAAGAAAACCTGTGAAGTCTGAGTAGGACAAATGAAAAGAAATCCATGGGCTGGATATGTAGCTCAGTGGTAGAGTTTTTGCCTAGCATGCTTGATGCCTTGGGTTTTATCCCCAGTGCTGCTAAGAGAGAGAGAGAGAAGGAGAGAGAGAGAGAGAGAGAGAGAGAGAGAGAGAGAGAGAGAGAGAGAGAGAGAGAGAGAGAACTAGGCATATCATTGAAAGATTGGCAAGGATCAAATATGAAGAAAAAGATCATCTTCAAAGGAACAATAACAAACTGACAAAATCCAAAGATGATTGATTGGTAACTTTAAAGTGCTGAAAGAAAATCACTGTCAACCTAGAATTGTATATATCCAGTGAAATATCTTTCAGTTATAAAGATGAAATAGACATTGTAAGATAGATAAAAGACAAGAGAATCCATTACACTCAACCTTCACTAAAAGAAACACGGAAGAAGGCTGATGGTGTAGCTCAGTGGTAGAGTACTTGCCTAATGTGCCAAGGCCTTGGTTTCAATCCCCAGCACCAACAAACAAACATACAAACAAAAACCACTAAAGGGTGTTCTTCAGGCAGGAGGAAAATAATTGCAGGTGGAAGTCTGGAGATATGAAAAAGAATGAATGGAATAAGTTAATATTTGGGCAGATTAAAATTATATAAAGCAGTGATAATACTGCACACTAAAAAATAGTATATGTGGCAATATTTGAAGCAAATTAATACATACATATTAATAATACATGGTATTACATGATATATCATGCAGTTAATGATACATATTATTGGCGGAGGGAGTAAAAGTAATATTAAATTTTAATAAGTCAAGGAAATATGGGACAAAAATAGATTATAATGGAAATTGGCACATATTTAGAATTGAATAATATCAAAAACATATCCAGACTCATGAAGTGTTACTAAAGCTATACCTAGAGGGAAATATAATGAATTAAATGTTTATGTAAGAAAATGAGAAAAGCTATAGGTTTATGAACTAATACTTTACCTTACTTAAATTTGAAAAAAGCAGAGAACAGAATTTTATGAAGTCAAAACTAAACATATTTGAAAATACCACCAATGTTTTGCTTCTGAAACTTGAATCAACACCTATGACTTCAACTCAGGCACCACCTGTCTACCTGAATGTAGACCTTTGTTTAGGGAGAATGTTTCTATATTGATGCTCTCAGCCAAAGCTCATGAATCACAAAAATCTCTGCTGATTCAGAACTAATAGCAGAAAAGAATTGTTCTTTCCCATTTTTTTGTCAACACAGAGAAGTCCTCCTAACTCTGTGCCTTCTTTGTTTCAGGACAACTGTGTGTAGCAAAGGGAGTGGTGAACAGCAAATCATGAAAGCAATCGATGTGAGAATTGAGAGCAACCCAGTTCCTGGTGGCATGTACCATGCCCTTTGTATTAAGAATGAAGGTCAGTGCTGCCATCTTTGTAAAGGTCTTGAACTGGGTGATCTTGTCGGTTGCTGTCTTAGGTTGGGTTCTGGAGAGGAAGGCCTTGAGATATGGTTTCTCTAAAGCCTTACAAAGAAATTTTTGAAGTCTTCCAAAGAAAAGCCAATAGGGCAGTGAAAAATTAGACAGGAAAGGGTAGATGGCAATTTGGTGCAATATTAAGCAAAATTCACAGTAGTGGTGAGGTGGAGTAGCTTTGGCCCAGTCTCTCAATGAACCTCTGCGATGATGTACATATTCATGGTTTCCCTGATTGGGTGAGGGAGCTGGGGTATGTATACCCCATCTGTCAGTCATTGGTGAAAGGCTGCTTCAGGAAATGTAAATTCCCAGGCTCTTCTGGTTTATTCATTTGCATAGATAAGAGGTAGAGTTTTTACCTAGCATGCTTGATGCCCTTCAACAGAGGCATAGTTGCCCATCAGGAGTCCCTGTGCATAGGAATGATCCATGTCTCTATGGAATAACAGCAGAGCCTCAGCAGCATCTGCTACAGTTGTTAATGCTCACAGCTTGCTCTTCAGTCTGTCTCCACAGTGAACAGCACACTGAAAAGAAAATTATCATTCCCAAAAAAAAGGAAATTTATGGGATTTAGGAAACTGCTCTTAGGAAGGAAAATCCACCTTCAGTCTGGAAAGTCAGCTGAGTGGTGGAGAGAAAACCATAAAGAAGTCTCCAGGGCAGCATTTCATGTGCACCAAAATAAGTACACCTTCATTATCAGAAACACATGCCGTTGAAGGGCACTATTCATGTGAGTGGAGAAAAAGCCAACTTCTTAATCATCAGTCATGGAAATCAGCACAGGTTCTGCTTGACTGAATATACTGGACTCATCTGGGAAGTATTTTTTTCAAAAATACTGATGCCTGAGTGCCAGACCTAGAAATTCTGATGTCAATGTTCTGGGCATTGAGCTTTTTTTGAAACCACCTCAGTGATTTTAATGTGCACCCTATGTTGAGAACTACTTTAATAATGCAGGATTTCTTTAACTTTGGTGATCATCAGAAATACCAGATAAACTTGTTAAAAACACAAATCCTCAGGCTGTATCCCAGATGCACCAAATCCTCACCTCTAGAGAAGAGGTCAGAGGAGTTGGTCAGTGTGAGAGCCATAGTGAACCCCTAAGGCCCTGGAAGATGTTTGCCACAGGTTTGGTAATGATAGGCTTCTCCTTTGCTATGGGGTCTCTGTTCAGGATGGTTCTTCAGGTACTGATTTTTATTGAAGAGTGTTGTGAGAGACTCTTGATCTGTCTAATTAATCAAGAGATGTATCTTTGTTTTGGAAAGACCCAGGGAGAGCAAGAATCTGTGATTTTTTTAAAAATCACATAAATAAAATGATCCTTTGCAGTGTGTCAAAATGCATTCTACTGTCATGTAATAACTAATTAGAACAAATTTTTTTAAAAAAAATTTAAATGATTTTTTGAATCCCAAACATAGGTGGAGCATCAGATCCCTGAAGGAGATAGGAGAGAGCTAGAAGAAAAGCAGGATAACTTTGTTTCTTCTGTGATCTCAAGTGAAAGAGTCCTGTCTCTTTCCCCTAATAAATAAGAGCTATCATTTAGCTTTTGTAAGGTAACATACCACCATAAAATGCAGTGTCTTAAAATGACATATTTAGCTCACAGTTTTGTGGACCATCAATTTATGTTGCTCTTTTGTTACCATCAGCTGGGCTCACTTATGAATCTATGATCAGCTGCTGTTTGACAGGTAGCCTTGCTTCTAGGACTTGGCTGGCTGTTGGCTAGGGTGAGGGGAGGATCTGGTCCATATGCTCCTCATCATGCAACAGGCTAGCCCGGGATTTCTACCGCACAGCCCATCACAAGTGTGTGACTGTAAGTGTGTGCCCCTTTTGCCCATAATCTCAATACATGCAGCCAAAGATAGGAAATGTCCATTCATGTCGTACGGGGTGTGAAGATCAAAGCCACGATAGTGACTGCAAATCTGAGTCATGGACAAAGCAATGTCTTGTGCCTCCTGATGTGTTGCATTGATTTGGTGGTATTCCTGCCAAAAATGTATAACCCGAATCTAATCCTGAGGAAACCCAAGCCAGACTCAAACTGAGGAGCACCTTACTCTTTTAAAAAAATGTTAGAAGAAAAAGAAAGGCTAGCAATTGTTCTGGATTAAAATAGAATGAAAAGATTTGACAACAAAATGAAATGTGTGACTCTGGGTTATATTGTGGACCAGGAAAAAAAAAATAGCTGTAGTTGATGACATTTGACTCTGAATTATGAATTAAATAATAGTGTGGTATCGATGTTTAAATTTCCTGATTTTAGTCAATGTACTGCAGTTATGTAAAAGAATGTTCTTTTTCTTAGGAAATGCACACTAAAGTTTTTAGGAGCAAAGGGCCATAGTATCTACAGCTTACTCTCAAATGGTTCATAAAATAATCATAGAGGACTGGGGATAAAGCTCGGTGGTAGATCACTCACTTGTGTCCAAGGCCATGAGTTTGATCCCCAGCACTGCAAACAAAATAAAACAGAATTATAAATATAGATACATATGTATCTATATTTATGTACATGTATATACTTTCATATATGTACATAGATATGTATATATGTATGTTTGAATGTATATGTGTGTGTGTGTGTGTATATATATACATATATATATATATATATATATATATAGAGAGAGAGAGAGAGAGAGAAAAGAGAATTATAAAGCAAAGGGGGCAAAATTAATTCACATTGGTAAATTAGTAAATAAAAGGTATATGGAAGTTCTTCATTCTTACAAATTTTCCATAACTTTGAAATTAAAAATTGTTCAAAAAAATCAAATGATCAATGTACTTCTTCAGTAGCAACAATAATAGCAGTAACAACAGTTACAACCGATAACCATAAACACTGCAAAAAAAAAACAACAAAACCCAACCCTGTGAGATGTGGGGAGCCAACCTGTGAAGTGAAACTGGGGGCGTTGCTGAGCACAGCAAGGGCAGGTCACCAGCAGCCCAGCAGCAGATGGTCTACGTGTATCTGAGAGGCAGAGGATCGATGCTGGCAATGGCTTTGAGGCTCCCTGAGCTCACTCCCCTGTGAGGCAGAAGATGCTTCAGATAATGTATGTGCGGTGGCTGTCATGACGCCTGTCCACGTGCCTGAAGACGGGCTCCATTTTGACACAGCAGGCGCAGCGTGGGGTTCCTGTGGTCAGGGTCCTCCAGGGCTCTGTGTCCTGCAGCAGTTTGCCTGAGCCCAGCCAGGCCTCCCTCACCACCCAGTCAGGAGGGCTGCACAGGCAGGGCCTGTAAGGGGAAGCCTGGAGTCTTGGTCCTGTGGGGCCTAATTGTTAAGGAGGCCTTAGGTGAGCCATGCATCCTGAGGTGGGATTAGGCTCTCTACAAGAGCAGGACAGACTCCCCACAGTCACTCAAAGAGAATTCTCTCCCTCCTCCTCTTCTTTCCTCCTTTAGGAGGAAAACAGTTTCCCATACCCTCCACTCTTCTCAGAGGATTCACTTCTTTCCTCATAGGGTCTTTGTTGACAGTAGTCAACAAGGGAAATCTGTCGCTGCAGGAAGGTGCAGGGTCTTGGTGCAGACCCAGGTAAACAGGCCGTTGGATGGGTTGAGCCGAGCACAAGCCTAGGGTCATACTTCTTCAAAGGTTGCTTCTTTCCGAATGATGCTTGATGGTACTGAGCACCTTGCTGCTGTTTGCCTTTGTCAAGACAGATGAGGGTGCTGACTCTCTAAATGGCAGACATCTGCCTCGGGAAGAGCCCAGAAGGAGCATGGGGCCTGTGGAATGTTAGGGCAGCTTCCTCCTGTGCTTATTTATTTATTTATTTATTTATTTTATGTGGTGCTGAGAATGGAACCCAGTGCGTCACATGTGCTAGGCAAACGCTCCACCACTGAGCCACAGCCCAGGCCCCTGCTCCCGTGCTTCTTGATTGAAATAAAGTGCATCACCAACGTAGACGTCTCTCATTTTCCTTTCAGTATTTTTGTTTCACTGACAGTGAATTTCCAGCCCTGTGGTGATCTCACTTAAACTAATAAGTGAAGTTATTTTTAACCAACTGGATGCTGATGAAATAAGTCGCCTCCACTTGGGTTTTCTTGCTTTGCTTCTCTTGGCAGCTTGTCGGTGGGGTCCGTGGCTTGGGGTCTGGAGGCTTCCAGTTTCCTCTCACCTTCTGCATGTGGCACCACAAGGCTCCATTCTGTGTGCTTCTGTGAGTCCACACTGAGCCAGGGCTGGTTGTGCCCCGCTTCCCCACCAGCCATCCTGACCTTCTCAGTGCTGCATACTTCAGAGTTGCGGGTACTTCCCTTAAAAAAACGAGAATGGATCATTGCCTTCCTTGAGTTTATTTTATTTTTCCAGCACTGGGGATTGTATCAGGGGGTGCTTCACCACTGAGCTACCTTCCCAGTCCTTTTTACTTTTTATTTTGAGATAGGGTCTCACTAAGTTGCTGAGGGATGGCTTCAAACTTTCGACCCTCCTGCCTCAGCCTCCTGAGTCACTGGGATTCCAGTTGTGCTCTTCCACCCCAGTTTCCCTTCCTTTATGTCAACAAGAAGAGAGCTGAGCGCTTACCTGTCTTGGAGAGTAAACAGGAATTTTTGAGAGTAGCCAATTCCCAGGTCTACCTAGAAGTGGCCCTGTGTCTCATGAGTAGCTCTGGGGGAATTGTCCAGTGACCATGGGACTGGAACCAGTTAATCGCACTGTGTAGAATAGCTGATAAAACTTATTTAGTTCAGGGTCTCCCAAGGAAGTATGTCAGACTGAGCTCATTATCACTGACTTGGTGTTGATCGTTTGTTTATTTAGTTGTCCAGGGTCATGCAAAGTCCAGTGCTTATACTTGCAGGTGCTTCAGACAGATGATAGACAGAGGACTTGTCCCCACCCTGGAGTTGGCAGTATATTGGGATGGCTAAGAAATG